CCGTCCTCACAGCTCTTTAACCCTCCTTAATGTCCCTGGCCTTCTTGCTGTTCTTGGAGCTAGACAGCCAGTCTTCCAACCCCAGGCACTTTCCCTGGCTGCCCCCCATGCCTGGAGCATGCCCTGGCTACGTCCCAGCTGAAATGCCACCTTCCACAGGAAGCCTACCCTATGTGGATCATTTACCGTTTGTCCTGTATACTGCTTGTTTGTCCATAGTCATTTGCATGCTGTCTTTCCTGTTAGACTGGGAACACCTGGAAAGCAGGGCCTACCCTTTACCTTTCTTTGTACCCCCAGTGCTGGCACCAGGACTATAATATTAGACAATACAATCAAGTTGGTCTTATTGCCCCTCCCTTTATTTTTCTCTTTATCAGATGGCCAGGATCCTTCTTTGTCAAAATTTGTACTAGAAAAGGTTTTGCTTTCATCATTTTTGCCTTGGTATTCAACAAACTGGTATGAATTTAATTCAATCTGGGTTACTTATCTCACAATTTTCTGCCAATGACAGGCAGTGAACTGGTGGGAAGAAATTATTCCTGGATTATGACGTCTTTTGGGGTGCATCTGAACTTACACTCTTACCTTACTTACTTGGCATATAAGGGGTTTGGTCCGGCCTGCTAAAATAGTTGTAAAACATTACTACTTTTCCTTGTGACTTTTTTTAAGGTTATTAAAGGTGTCGTTAATCAAGTAATTGCTCTTTGCTGTTTTCTGTTTAATTACAGTACTTTGGAGAAGTTGTTCCCAGTATAAACAGGTTGCCACTAATGAAGACCTGGTAAGAAAGATTGTTGAATTTCAAGTTCCCCAGACTTTTGCAAATGGGATTGAACACTCCTACTATTGCTTTTTGAATAAAGGGCTGTTATAGGAAACTAAGGTTTTTTTTTAAATCCTTTGTAACAAAACTTGTTCTCAGTATATTGCATAAATCGATTTCTTAAGCTTTCTTAGAGGCATAAATAAGAATTCTGTAAGAGAATATCAATGTTAGTTTTTTTCTCTAATTAAATGTAAAATTACGTATTATCAAAAATACTTATTGCTGACACTTTTCAGTATAAAAGTAGGATTAGCTTTCTTGATTTTACTCCAAAGATTTCCCCTCTACTATGCTTCCAACACTAGATTTTCAGTTCAATAAACATTTTTAAGCATCATGTGCAAGGTAATGTGCTAGGTGCATTGGTTGTACTATATATTCAGTAGCATTTACTAAGCAAGTTAGTTTTGGAAACTACTTTGATCTTGCCCCTGACACTTTCCAGCTTTGTAAAGTTTTGTCACTTAATCCCTATGGATCTCACCTTTCTCATTTGTAAAATTGGGACAATAATACTTGTAGTATCTTACTTCATATGAGGTGATTATGAAGCTTAGAAGACATAATTCTTGTAAAGTGCTTTGCAAATCCTTAAGTGCCGTTTAGATGCTATTACGCTGAATTATGTTTTTTTAATTCTTTTTCCTCCCTTTCCCCCCAAATCTAGCCAGTTACAATGGAAAATCCCTACAAGGAACCAAACCAAAAATGTATTTTGTGTGGAAAACCTGTGGATTATAAGAATGTACAGGTAAGAGTTGAATTTATTACCCAAGATGCTTGAATATGGAATTTTGCCGTCTGATAAGTTGTTAAAGAGAATTTAAGAGCTTTTTAAAATGGGAGTTTAGTTCTAAAACTCTAGTTTTAAAACTTAGTGAGGACATAGAAGATGCTTATACCTGCAGTATATGTTCATTTAATTTGAATTAAATCAAATTATAGCTGTCATCTAAAGAAGCAAGCAAAAATGGCTTAACAGATGTCATAAAGTCCATGTGTTTCACTCATAAATATTATATACTATAATGCGTGTATTTACATCTAACCAAGTTTATTTCCTGGCACATAGTTGCTTAGAACAAATTATAAAAAGTGGGAGAACAGTACTTCTAGCAAGAAATGTAAGGTAATGGTGAGGGAGGAAAAAAAGCATTATAAAATGTTGACAAGCACTCTGAGTCTACTAGTATAAAAGAGCTTTCCCCAACTTTCCCTCTCAAGTAACTGATATTCACCATAGTAGTAATGGATCATTGCATAAACTTATGTTCATGTATCTTCTGTAAATGTAAATATACTTTTGTATGCACTTTGATTCCTTTTCTGTTTATCCCCTTAAATAGCACTACCCTTTTGTAACAGAAAAACATTTAAGCAGAACCAGTAGTCTATACCATGTTACCCATCTGTAATCCCCCACCTCTCAACTGAGGAGGTTTGTTTCATCCTGAGTTCTCTAGCACTGCAATTAAAGATAACCATGCAAAAGGAAACTTTTTTAAAATGTGGTACTTAAAAGGGGGATAAGCTTAAGTTATTTTCCTTCCTAATGATATTAAATAAGATGTGTATGTGTAATCTAAGAGTACTTTTAATTGGAGACTTCATAGGAACATTTAAAAAATTGGGCTCAGGCTGTTAATAAATGGGCTTGGTATTTCTTAAATATATTCATGTCCCCTTTGAAAATAATGTAAGCATATGTTTATATCAGACCTTATAGTTTAGTAGTGGACATCTCAATGGATTTAGAAATCACCAGGCCCTGGGCTGAAGCTTCAGTGCTGACGTTTTCTAGTTCTATTGCTATGACACTCAGCACCTTTGGGCCTATTTCACTATTTTTAAAATGGGAATGACACTCATACTTACCTGAAAAGATTGTTGTATAAGGCAACTTTTTCACCATGTAAATGTGAATTGGTATTACAGTACTAAAAAAAAAAAACCTAAGACTGACTTTTTAAAAGTTGCTTATTAACTTTGATTACTACTAATTTGGGTTTTTGTTTATAAAAATATCAACAGCTTTTGTCCCAGTTTGTTTCTCCATTCACTGGATGCATTTATGGAAGACACATAACAGGTATTTACATTAAAATACATTTGTGAATATTTTAATGTATAAATAATTTAAAACCAATCTTAATTTTACCTTCAAGAAAATGAGCTAGTTTTCTAATATAACTGTTGACTAGATGTTACAGTGAGGCAAAATGGTTAAATTTTTATACTCTTTAGGCTCAGTTAACTGTTTTAGTGCAACTCTCCAAAAGCATTATGTCCAAGGATATGATTTGATATGGTATTCTGAAATTAAAGTCTTTCTTTTAAAGCAAAGTTTATTTTAAAAGTACACTCTAATCATCATATGGATTTTGTATAAGCATTAACTTTTTATATCTGGAGTGAAATTAATGAAAACTTTTTTTTCATAGGCTTATGTGGGAAAAAACAGAAAGAGATTACAAAGGCTATTAAGCGGGCTCAGATAATGGGTAAGAGTGAATATTCGATTTTTTGCCTGTTATATAGTTTAATGTATGTTTCTGGACACATTTTGCTTTAATGTGACAGTTTCCAACCCGTACCCAAATTCCTCATAACTTTTCTCCTAAGTAAGCAGAATAGCCTGATTGCACCTAAGAGTATGTCATTTTGCCCCTTTGTAGTTAATGGGAGGTGTCATACTTTAATTTTGTGCAGTTACGCTGCTCTGGAGGGCTGCCTCTACTTACCTTGTGATTGGTGTGTGTTTCTGCTTTCTTCACTCTGGCTGACTTACGTTAAGTCTTGCTATGTTCTCTGAATCCTGTCATTCTTATGGTACAGTGATATTGCATTATATACCTATATCACAGCTCTTTTAGTAATTGCCCAATTATTGGGCACATTTTTTTTCTCCCTTTTGGTTATTTTTTTAAATGATGCTATGAATATTTTTCACATAATAATCTTTTCTGGCTTTCATTAGCCTCCTTGGGATATAATCCCAGAAGAAGGATTTCTGGTTCAAAGAAGGTGAAGAAATTAAGTCACTTTTCTTAAATAATTCCAAAATTCATAGAAAACATTTGGACTATTCTACCAGCAGTGAAGTAAGCATACTTATCTTCTAATAGGTTCTCATCCAACACTAAATTTCACCACTTTCTGCTGGTTTTTGTATGAAGTAATACCTCAGTATTTTAATATGCATTTCTCTCATTGGGGAGATTGAACCTTTCTTTGTATCCTTAGTGTGTATTTCTTCTTCTCTGACCACTAGTCTAATGAGGAAGGACTCTTGATTTGTCTTTGCTTTAGATCTTATGGCAGATTATATAAGCTTTTATTGCATGTTTAATCTTTTTCTAATTTTAGCTTTATTGATTTTTTTATTTGTGCAAATTACAGTGAAAAACTTAGAACAAATTATCTTTTTGTAGGATTTATGCCAGTTACTTACAAGGATCCTGCCTATCTGAAAGATCCCAAAATTTGTAACATCAAATACTGAGAATAAAGCTAGTACCAATAAAACTTATTTGACAGATATGTGTGCTGTCAACTGTGATTCAATTCCAAAAACATTGGCCTGCATATCAAAGGACCTGGCTTGTTTCTACATTAGGTTTTCTGGGCCTCAGTTTTGTCATCTGTAAAATGAGGCTGGAAAAGATGGCCTCCAAGGAGCCATACAGCTCACATCTGATTCTGAATAATTAACTTTCACACTTTTGTGGTAGAAAATAAAAAAAAAAACCCTCAGCTGAACTGTACCTGACGTTATCACTCAATTGTTGTGGAGGTGACCATGGATTTTTAGTTCTATCAGCAGACCTCTTATTTTAGTCTATGGCAGGAAGAGTATAGTAAATCATGTATAGTAAATCAAAGATGGGTTTGTTTGTTTTTAAACCAGGTTAGAATTTTAACTGAAACATCATTTGCTCAAACAATGGGATATACTTAAGAGTTAAGTACCTGCTAGGTAACAGATAACCCCAAAAAAGTGCTTGCCCCAGAGGAAATTACTTTCTACTGGGGGAGAAGCAAATGTGTAAGAAGACACAGAAGGTGGGCATGAGAATTTCTTGACTGAGGACTAGTTCAGACTTTAGGATTGACCAATCCGATAGCTGATTAGGCATAAGAAAATGTATAGCAAAAACCTGAGTAGTTGAGTTCTGAAATTTAACTTCTTAGTGTGGCCTTTATTTCTTTGACCAATTTAAAAAATATAGCTTCAAGTTTTAGGATGGTTTTTTACAGAGATATTTCCTCTACGAAGTGGATTAACAGTTTCAGTAAAAGCTTTTATTTACAAAAACTAAACAACTTGGAAAATGACTAGTAATTTTTGCCATACTCCTAGAGTACTGTAATAAAAATATTGCCACATTCCTAATTTAATGTTTCAAAAATATTTTATATGAACCAATACTTTAGAAAATTATTAGAACTTATCCCATTAGTATTTTAAAACACAGTAAACTTTTTTCCCCTCTGCTGCCCTTTGGTCAGTTGGGACAGTCAGGAAAATTGCATGAAAGATTCAGAAAGTTGGCGACTCTGGATATTCAATATTGTCCTTCAATTTCTCTGTTTCTTCATCTGTTTCTATACTGCTTGTCAGTTCTGCTTCCTGATCATTGTTTTCGTGATCTCTTTTAAGAGACTGATTAGGAGTTTGTAACAGTCGTGCCTTCTTGAGTGGTCTTTGGTTCTCTAAGTCAAGAGACTGACCCTTAACTCCACATCTTGTTTCGTCATCTTCTGGAAAATCAGGGGTTTCCAGCATCAGAGTTAATTCACTCACTACATGGAGTTTGTGGTCAGTGGTACAGCAGTTTCTAGAAATCTGCCTGCCTTTCAAACACACAATACATGAATGAAGAAATCCACAATTTGGGAAAAATGTCCGTAAAGCTTGACAGAGAAGAACATTCTCTTCTGTTTCCAAGTCACGATTTGTCACTGCTAAATCAAAAAACACAATTTATTATTCAGCATTATGTAAAAGTTCAGACTGAAGTGGAATGTAAGGGTCTAGGGTAGGGGTAGGTGGGGAATCTGCAGCCTGGAGGCCACATATGGCCACCTTCTAGGTCCTTGAGTGCAGCTGACTGAGTCCAAGTTTTATAGCATCCTTTTAAGGGGATTTGTTCTGTGAAGTTTGGATTCCATCAAAGGGCTGCACTTACGGACCTAGAGGGCCACATTTGGCCTCCAGGCTGCAGATTCCCCATCCCAGGCCCTTTCATGGCTTATTGATCTGAGTCCAATTTTAAAATTTTATCCACAATGATACTTTTCCTTAGAATATTAAGCAAGCTGGCTTAACATCTGCCAGAGCTGACTTCCTGAACCTGAACTGAAGAAAGGGTTCTTTTTGTTGTTGTTTGTTTGTTTCGTTTTGTTTTTTTGCTTTGTGGCAAGGCAGTTGGGGGTTAAGTGACTTACTTTAGGTCACACAGGTAGTATCATATGTCTGAGGCTGTATTTGAACTCAGGTCCTCCTGACTCCAAGGCTGGAGCTCTTTCCACTGCGCCACCTAGCTGCCACCAAAGGGTTTTTTTCATTTAGCAAAACCTCCCCCATCCTCTGTTTGCTACTGACCAGAGACTGCTGACTACATCAATCCTGTTAAACTGAGGTTAGGTAAAAGTCTGACACCATTGTAAACAGTAGCACGGTGTGCTGCATACTGGTTTAATTAGTGGTTATGACAGGCATCCAAAGCCATCACATTCTGAGCCTGTGTTTTCTTTGTAAAACAGGGAGTGCTTGGGCCGCTTATGAACAGCTTTGTCAATCTGAAAGTGCTAGGGAAATGAACTATTATGGATAGTCTTTAATGGAAGCTGTACAGGAATAAAAGATAAGCAGTAGAAGAATGTTAACTTTTCTTTTTACCTGATACTACAGTCTTGGCTCTCTTTCTTGCTGCAAGTTCTTCTTTTAGTCTGTTTATATCTTTTATTAATTTTTCTACTGATTGCTCACTGTCTAATACTTGAGTGCATATTTCCTACAAAAGAAAAGTAGTTTAATTATACAGACAATATTCCAATTCATAATACATTAGTAACCTATAGTAAATAAAAGGAATTCTACAGGACAGAGTAGGGCAACATCACAAATTTTAACCACTTCCTGAATTGTATCACATACCAACTACTGCATTTTGCACGTGCAGTTCTTTTTCTCTAACGTGACTAGGGTAGGAGATGGGAAAGCTTAATATACTCCCCAAAATTACTACCTTAATTCGAGTTTATAGTTTGAGGAATTTATTAAAGTAAGCTTTTTGAATTTAAAAAGTCAATGTATAATAATACACTGTTAAATTTTTGGTTATAATAAATTTAATAATAAATTTTTTGATTGAAAAATTTTCTATGCTGTATTTTTTTTATAGATAATATACTAGGCAAAATCTGAATTTTTCTAGAAGAAATCCTAAACATGTAGAGCTGGCATGATTTCTAAACTTAGAAACAATCCTTAAAGGTATGAGATAATTACCTTTAATTCCTCTTGTACAGTGGCACAGAGTTCACTTATCTTCTGGACTTCTTTTAAAGTTCCATCTTCATTAAAAAACTCTGACCTATTGGTGAAAGATAAAATATTTCCTTGTGCATTTATATACTTCAAAACTTGTATTTGTAGTTCATCGGCAAAATGATGATTTGACGGAGGTGATATAGGGCCCTTGAACACAGATTCTGAGATAGTAGTAAGGAGGTAGAGTACTATTTTTTTTTAAGGGAGAAGTAGGGGAGGGTAGGATATGTTGTGGGGTCAAAAGTAGCTTTTTTCTTTTTCTTTTCTTTTTTTTTTTGTTAGGTTGAGGTAAATCTGATATGTTTATAAACAGAAGATGAGCCAAGAGTCTTAACTTTTAAAAGTAGGGATGGAGCAAGGTCTTAGAGGAATGGTAGCAAGAGTTAGATGGGATTATGGAGAATTAGAACTTTTAAAGAGAAAGAACACCTGTTTCAGGCTGAAAGGAAGGAAATGATAGAAGACCAGAAAGCTCATACTGAATGAGCTCTTATGAGTATGGTAGGTAGTAAAGCCCTTTGAAAGGAAAAGGGGATGTAGGCAGACTTGGGACAGAAAGGAAAAGGTTTGGGACAGCCACTTGGAGACATATGGAATTCCCAAAGCACAAGTATGACCATGTCACTGTCATAAGCTATATCCCCCAGCAGGGCCCCAGATCCAACTTTGGAGATATCCTGAGGCTCTTGACTCTTTTCAAATACCTTGTGCATACTGTATATATAGTAGGTCTTTCCTTATCTATGTATACTATGTGTACATATGTATACTATTTATATATATAACTATATGTAGTATAGACATACTACACACACACACAAAATGTTTTATTATCTATTATGTTACTTTTCCACAAAAAGAAGGTAAGGTCCAAGGACCTGCTTCGCTGTATGCCCAGTGCAGGGCTTGACACAGAGGAGGCATTTAAATTATGTTTAATGATCTGATCTGATAGGCAATGAAAGAGAAATAAAAGGATTACCTAGAAGCCAGGGACTTGGTGAAAGTGAGATAGCATATATTTGTAGTCAGACTATATGCACAGTGGCTTTAGCTTTAAAATTGGTTCAAGTTCTGATCCATTTTAAATTTAATGATACAATTTTTTTAAAAAAGAAAATGAGTACATTTGAAATAGACAAGGTGAAGAGTTAGCTGCTAAGGAGCCATCTTACCTATGTGCATGGACTGTTCGGCCAAAGGTAGTGGATGTACAGGAGCTCAACACAGTCTTGTATCCTTGTGGCTCTGACATACCTAAGTTGGTCACCACTAAAGGCACTTTATGGAAAACTCTAAAAAAAAATTTGATATGAATTTATAGCAAAGTTAAAAATCAGCAGTGGTGTTGTATTATCTTCATTTCCCATTCATAACAGACTACCCTACACAAATGAAGTAGATAGGTATCCCAATTATTTGTAAAAAAAAAACCTCCAGTAAATTTATAAGCAATTGCTTTAATCTACAACAGCACTGTCAATTATTTAAAGTATATTTTTAAAAACCCACATGGCTACTTTATGTGAAATTAGTTCACTTAAAATGGAATATAGCTATAATTAGGCATAACCAATACTTGGCTTAAGCTATTTTCCATTAACTTAAAAAAAAAAAGCTATCAAGTCAATACATTTTTGACAAGAATCTTGATATGACATGGAAAAGGTATCTGTATAACATGAGGTAGTACTACGCTTATTAGTATCACTAAGGGAAGAAATTTGTGATTTTCCTCCCAGTGGTACAGGGATCATTATGACCCCTATGTTCAAGAAAATACAGATGTGAAAGAGAAAGCCCATCTCACATAAACCCATGCATTAAATGTTGTTACATCAACTTATAAGTTTGTATAAAATATTTAAGAACTAAATATTGAAAAAATAACAGCACAGTACATCCTGAACTTCATTAGCTAATTCAAATATGTGCAACACTTACCCTTCCTGAGGTCTATGTAAAGCATGATCCAGCCTATGAGTGGAGCAGCTTTCTGTGGCTATGCTTGGTGTTAGTAACAGAAAAACAAGGCCCTGATTTGAAAGATGTTCTTGTAAATTTTTGTGAAGAATCCTCTCTCGAAATGTCATCACTTGGTCTGAATTACGTCTGAATTTGTACCATCCAATAACATTCTAAGGGGAGAAAAATCACACATCTCTATTATCTAAAACTGTAGTACCACAATGAGACAAAAATAAATGACAAAACATTCAATAATAAGTGATCAACATTTAGAAAAACTCTTGACAAGCTTAAGGATTTACACATATACATTTTGTACATTCCAAAAACATAAATACTGGTTTGTACTTACAATATTCTTGTGCATTCTGTAGACTTACTGAAAAAAAATTTTAAGAGTTTTCCCCTCTTAGAAGTCTTAACTCAAGAGAACTTTTCTATTTTTGTCCTGAAACCTGAACCTTTAATTAAGGTTCATAATAAAGACATCATTTTTAAAAGATCAGTGCAAATAAGTTAAAAGATAAAATTCTCTGACTAAAATCAGTTTATTTTTGAGGTGAGAGGCTCGACCTCATCAGACCAAAAAGATAGTATTCTCTTCAGTTCTGTGGCCACATTTTAAGAATGGTCACTGATAAACTGAAGGGTGCCCAGAGTAGGGCAACCAGGATGATGAAGAGTCTCAAATTCATGCCACGTAAGGATTATTTGAGGGAACTTGTGATCTTAAAGCCAGGAGAAGGTAAGATTTAGCATGGACAGTCAAGTATTTTATTCAAGTATTTTAAAAGCTAGTCCTCTGGAGGAAAGGATCAGATTTCTTCTGCTTGGGCTCAAAGGGTAGAATTAGGAGCAAGGGGTGAAAGTTGATTGAAAAAACTTCTTAACAATCTGAGTTTTCCTAAAGTAGAATGAGTTTCCTTGGGAGGTTAGGGTACATGAGGGTTAGAGAGATTTCCCTGACTTGAGGTAGTTAAACAAAATCTTGGGAAGTATTTAAAGACCTGTCAGAGGCCATCTAGTCCAATCCTCCCTGTTCAGATAAGGAAACAGACCCAGGGAGGTGGAAGTGACTTGTTCAAGGTCAACAAGGATCTGAGCCAGTCCCACTAAAGGGGGAATCCCTCTTTGGTGCAGAATGCCCCTTGAGTTCTAGCCTAACTCCCAAATTCTGCAGTAAAGGGCCTGTCACTCAGATTTGTAAAGCACTCTAGAGTTTGCTTTTTTCATAAAAATCCTTTTAGGTACAATATTTTACCTCCATTTGACAGATGAGGAAACAGGGTGAGAAAAGCCCCTGGACTTGGCTATAGTCCTCCAGGCCCTACACTGTCTGTGCTGCCTTTTTCAGCTCTTTTCCCCACCTACTTTAGAGGATAAGATTAAATCCATATGTGCAAAGTTAATGTGACTATTACTCTTGTTAGAAGCCAAAAAAGTAGATAATTAAAGGAGTGAACCACGGAGGTGGAACAAGTCCCAATACCTTTTTGCAGCATGGGATGATCTTCTTCAGCTCCTGCTCATTTACTTCACCGATTGAGTTATAAAAGCTAAAAAGAGGCAGATGAAAATATGTATCAGGTGAGATCCCTTTATAAAGAATTCCCTGGGGGCAGCTCGGTGGCGCAGTGGATAGAGCATTGGCCCTGAAGGCAGGAGGACCAGAGTCCAGAGTTCAAACCTGGCCTCAGACACTTGACTCTTACTAGCTGTGTGACCCTGGGTAAATGTGCAGGTCAGGGAAAATACAGCAACTAAGTATTATAAGGAATGTGAGTATTAAATAAGGAACCAGAGCAAGTTGAATGAGTAAATGAGCAACTTTCAGATAATTAGAAAAAGCCTTTTCATTATAAGACAGCGTATAAGCTTCTTGAGGGCAGGGACTGTCATTATTTTATCTTTATGTCCCCAGTGCAATGCTTGGCACGTGACAGGAGCTTAATAAATTATTCCTTGCTTGCTTGACATAACCCAATCACAAACTACTGGTCAGAATTCCTTATATGCATGCAGTAGCACTTACCTGAAGAGCTGATAGCATGGAATGTACCTTTGTATGTCTGAAAGGAAAAGATGAGTATTTTTATATTAATCTAATTGAAATTCTTAACACTGTAGTAATGATTACAAATACCTTCCCAAAAGCACAGTCTTAGCCTGCTATATTTTCACTGAATTTCAAGATGTTCTTTCTCTAATTTCATATTTTGGTAATGCAGCTATTAGCATTAGGAAAGTCTTTTATATATTCTCTATACCTATATTCCATGGTTGTTTAAAAAATATTAAATTCCATGCACATGTTGATGCTTATGAACTATTTTTTATAATTATGATTAACAAATTCTAAGGAATAAATTACATACCTTGTAGTTTAGATGTACTGATGCCTGGAATAGTACACAGAGGACTGCTCTCGAAGTCAATAAAACCTACATTCAGGTCCCACCTCAGACACATTTTTTGCCTATGTGACTCTTGGCACCTCACTGAACCTCTCGGTGCTCCAGATAAATCTCTCAAACTCTCAGTGGCCAACTTGTCAGGGACTCAAATTGGTAGAGAATTTCCTCATGGGGAAAATACCCCTAAACTGACTAAATTACTAGTCTAGGATCCCCCCTCCCCCGATGCATTAACTCTTTCCATTCAAGCACAGATTAACTATTTGAGCAGGAAAAAACCAACATGTCTAAAAGCTAAGCTACCTTATTCCCATGTCAAAAGCCAAATCAGGTCTAAGGAAAGGAGACAATTATATGCGTGATCATCTCCTTACACATACATTTATGAGAAGTTATGCAATAAGAGGAATGCTACACTTAGCATTAGAAACCCTGGGTTTATTCCCAAAACTGTCACTCAACAGGTATCTAACTATGACTCAGCTTCTCAAAAAACAGGACATAGCTCTGTTTTTAAGGAAAAGGGCTTTGTAAATCCTTAAGTGCTAGGTAAATGATGACTATTTTTATTCACTGGTAAACATGTAATAAAAACCTACCATGTGCAATTCACTTCCATCTAGGCATTAGCTGAAGTATAAAAAGAAGCCACAATGGTCTTTGCCCCATGGCTTCCTTCTATGATTCTCAGGCAAGCCTACCTGAAAACATATGGTACATTGTCACTGATGTTACCACTATTACAACTAGTCCAGTTGATGACAGCCTGTGCTACAATGCCGTGCACATGAGGAAAGCAGCCATCAACACATTTTATAACCTCAAAACAAGGAACAGGGAAAGTAAGCCCTTCTGGATACTCAGAAAAGTGTCCAATTTGCTTTGTCATAATAAAATAATTGAAAAACCGTTAGATCAAATCACCAGGCATTGTATTGTACTAAGTATAACACAATAAGGGGGAAATGGATTTTTAATGAAATAGAACACTACCAAGCTTTCATGAAGAAAAGACCAGAATTGAGTAGAAATTTTGAAATGCCAACAGAAGGATCAAGAGAAACAGAAAAAGGTGTAAATACAAGAGAGCAATAATAAGATGAAATAAGGATGAAGTGTTTAAACCTAATAGAGAGAGATGATATGTTTCCCCTCAGAACTCTAATGTCAGTAATCTAGAAGACGTCAATAAGAAAGAGGGCTTGGTAGAAGTTTTGACATGATCTAAAAGAAGGGGGGAGTAGCTAGGTGGCGCATTTGATAGAGCACCGGCCCTAGGCAGAAGGACCTGAGTTCAAATCCGGTCTCAGACCAGACACTTGACACTCACTAGCTGTGTGACCCTGGGCGAGTCACTTAACCCCCAAATGCCTCACCAAAAAACAAAAACAAATGAACAAATAAATAACTAAAAGAAAAAAGGAGAAAAAAAATATACTGGGGGTAAGGAAGGAAAATGGGAGAAAAAGGGTGAGGGAAAGTATATCACACAATCAGGTTGGACAATTAGAAGCTATACAAACAAGGAGGAATGGGTGGGAGGGGGACAGGTAACATGAGAACCTCACTGTCATCAGAACTGTTCAAATGAGGAAAGAATATACACAGTCTCACTCAACAGGGCAGCAGGAGGGGAAAGGGAGAGAGGGAATAAAGACTGAAAGAGATTAAAAAACAACAACTAACCATAGAGGGTGGACCATGAGGGAGGGGGCTCAAAAAAAAGAAAGCAATCTGTGATTGGGTTCTTGGGGAGGGAAAGAGAAAAGGGGCAATGAAACAGAAGCAGACTTCAGCACCTAAAGCACTAGTGCTGAACACCCGCTTTGCACAACTCTTCTTTATAAGGAAAGAACAGAAAACAAAGAAAGAGAAAAATCTAAGAGATGGAGAAAAATACATGATTAACAGTAACTGTGAATGTGAAGGGGAGGAACTCACCCATAAAACAGAAGATAACAAAATGGATTAGAAAGCATAATCCAACAATATGTGGTTTACGAAAAACACACTTGAAAAAGTTAAGAGTCATACAGAGTTAAAATAGGGTGCTGGAGCCAAATTTATCATGCCTCAATTAAAGTAGAAAAAAAAAAGCCATGGTAACAATCATGATCCCAGACAAGGCAACAGTGAAATAGATTTGATTAAAAGAGATAAACAGAAAAATAAAATTTTGCCAAAAATTACCATAGACCAAATGGCATAATATTTAAACACATAAAAGTTAAATGAGTTAAAGAGAGAAACAGATAATAAAACTATAATAGTGGGAGACCACAATGTACCCTTTTCAGACCTAGACAAATATAACCAACTAATAAACAAGAAAGTTAAGGGCATGAATACATTTCAGAAAAATTAGATATGACAGAAGTTTGATGGTTACTAAATGGGAATAAAAAGAAATATATATGTATATATATATATATTTCGTTGTACATGGCATTTTACAAAAATTAACTATGTATTATGTTGTAAAAAAAACAGAAAAATTAAACACATCTTTTATGGACCACAATGCAATAAAAGTTATGTTGAATAAATGGCTGCTGAATAAATTATTAAAAATTAATAGGAGATTAAATAACTTAATCCTAAAAAACAGGCGAGTGAAAGAATAAATCACAGAAACAACCAATAATTTTATTAAGATAATGACAATAAGAGACAATATACCAAAATTTGGGAGATGCATAGTTCTTAGGGGAAATTTTCTATATCAACACTTTTATCGTTAAAAGAGACAAAGCTCAATAAATTGGGCATGCAATTTAAAAAAAAAGAAAAGCACCAAATTTAAAACTCCCAATTAAATAAAATAGAAATCTTGAAAATCAAAATAATAAACAAAACTGAAAGAAAAAAATTAGACTAATCAAAAAACCTAGGTGCTTAGGGTTTCTTTTGTGGGGGGAGGGCATGGGGGAAATGGATAAACCATTTGGTAATTTGATTAAGAAGAAAAATAAACTCTCAATGTCAAAAATTAAAAAGGTGAATTCACAACCAATGAAGAAATAAATGAAATGGACTAATATTTATAAAAATATAAGATGTCCAGATTAACATAACAAGTAATAGAGTACTTAAATTACCCAATTTTAGAAAAAGAAATTAAATAACACATGAGCTTAAAAAGAAAATAGCCTCTGAAAGACAAGATGGATTTAAAAGCAAATTCTATCAAACATTTAAAGAATTAATTCCAATATTACATAAACTGTAAGAAAAGGTGTCCTACTAAATTCCTTCTATGATACAAATATGGTCTTGCTACCTTAACAAGGAAGAGTCAAAACAGAGAAAAATGTGATATAAAAATTTTAAATAAAAGATGAGGAAGAAGACCACAACAACATATCACAAAGGCTATGACCAGGCTGATTTTTACCAAGACAACAGGACTGTTTCAATATTATAAATATAACTGACGAGAACAACAACAACTACAAATCATATTACTATGTCAATACACAAAAAGCTTTTTAACAAAATAAAACATCCATTCCTGTTAAAAACACTAAAAACCTAGGAATAACTGAATCTTACCTTAATATAAGTAGTATCTATCTAAAACCAAGAGCTAGCATCATAGAAATGGGGATAAACTAGAGTCCTTTCCTATAAGATCTGGAGTAAATCAAGGAGGTCCACTATTTGATACAGTGCTAGAAATGCTAGCTACAGCAATCAGGGAAGGAAAAGAAAGCAAGAGAATAAGCAGGGTCAAAAAGCAAAGAAAATTACTGCTTTCTGCATATCATGATGATTTACTTAAAGAACAGTAGGGATTCAACTAAGAAATTAATTGAAACCACTAATAACTTAAGCAAAGTTACAGAATATAAAATAAACCCACATAAATCATTAGCATTATTATATGTTACCAATAAAGCCCAGCAGGAAGAGTCTGAAAAAGAAATTTCATTTAAATTAACTACAGCATGTATATAATGTATTCTGTAATTTTTATTGTTCATTTTTCCTTAGTTTTTTCCTACTTTAGCAAAGTTATACCTAATACTTCTAAATAAAGAATAAAGAGTACATTAATTTTATTTTCAATCTCTATTTTAAAATAAGTTTTTAGAAAATGATTTTTAAAATATTTTAAAAGAACATTTATCCTGATCACTTTTAGGTCTGACACACAGATAACACATGGTATACTCACCAATTGTATAAACAACTTCAACATCATTCAACTGAGAGTCTGTAATACTGTTCTTGGCTTCACCTTTCACCTCCCCAAGGAGAAAACCTTCCTATGGGGTACAAAAAAGAAGCAATATATGAAATAAACTAACATTTATTATGTCTTTACTAATTTTAATTAATTCATTCCAAACCTGGACATCTACAATATTCTAGGTACTAAAGAGGATACAAAAGAACACTTCACTCAGCCTAGTTTAAGAGAAGTCAGGAATGAGTCAAGTAACAGGAAAAGACAATATGTCAAAATCAATAGTACAGGTATTATAAAAATTGTGATAAGGGGAAGATTAATATGGACTGTATTACTTCATCTCTTGCCCCCGAACCATGGGGGCCTTCTCCTCTATGATCTCATCAGCTTCCCAAGGGTTCAGGTATTATTTTTATACAGATGATTCATGAATAGATGCATATCCAGCCCTAACCTATCTCCCGAATTACAGTCCCACATCACCAACTGCCTTCCTGGACATCTTAAGTAACTCAAGCACAATACATTCAAAACAAACCTCATTATCTTCCCCTTTGACCTACCCTTTCTCCAAACCTCCCCATTTCTATTGAGGATAACACCAATCTTCCTGTCAGCCAAGCCTGAAACTAGGGAATCATCAATGACCCTTTCTGCCACCCCTTCATGTCTAATCCACTGCCTAGTCTTTTCAGTTCTATCTCAACATCTTTCTTATGCATACACATTTTTCTTCCTCTCCTAATCTCCACCCTGTTTTGGATCTGTATTTCCTTGCTGCCTGGATTGCTGCGCAACCTAACTAGCAACTTCCCTGCTTTTCTTTGTTCCTTTTTTTCCTAATCCATGCTCCACAGCTGCCAAAATAATCTTCCCAAGTCACAAGTCTAATTATATTATTCCCTGCTTGAAAATCTCCAATGGTTTTCAAAATACCAACTCACCTTAGCATTTAAAATCTTTTAGTCTGGCTCTAGCCTAACTTTCCTAATTTACGTCATATATATTTATGTACCAGCCTAAATGGCCTACTCTACATTCCCTGAATATAACATCCCATCTCTCATCTGCATGCCTGTGTGTAAGCTATTTGCTATGCCTTTTACAATGCTTAGCCTCCTTCCATGGTTAGTAAGTGGCCATTTTCTTTATGAACTCTTTTCCTGATTCCTCCAGTTAAAACTCCTTTCTCAAATTACGTTGCGTTTATTTGTTTACATGTTGTATACCCCACTAGAATATAAGTTCTTTGAAGGCAGGGAGGGGACTTTTTTGTTGTCTTTGTAACTGCTCAACCCCTTAGCACAGGGCCTGAACATATGTAAGCTCTTACTGTTCATTGAATGAAGCAGAACCATAAGCTGAACCCTTGAAGGTAGGGGCTTAGTCAATCAGGATTTATCACTGCATCAAAAGATATGCCTACCATGTGCCAGGCACTATTCTGAGGATACAAAAAACAATCTCTGTTCTCAAGGAGTTCACAGTCAAATGGGCAAAAGAACATTCCTGGTAAGAGAAATTGTATGTGTTAAGGTTTGGAATCAGGAAAAAATGTCAGGCTCAGAAAACAGTGAGATACTTAGTCTGGTTAAAGGTGAAAGTTCCTAGCATATAGGAAGGGTGAGCTTAAAATACGGAGAGACCTGGATGCTGAAAGGAGCTGGAATTTTATTTTCTGCATAATGAGGATTCACTGGAGGTTATGGAGGCATATTAATCAACAAGCACCTATACTATTACTAAACATAGGGGTTTAAAAAAACCCCCAAACCAAAACTCTATCCATGCCCTTAAAGAGCAAATAAAAGGTAAATAAAATTAGGGCACTGGAGGAGGGAGGAACTAGTAGTTTGGGGGTTAAGAAAGGCCTCAAGTAGGAGATGGTGATTGAGCTGAGCTTTGAAGAACATTAGGGATTCTGAGACGCAGGCATGAAGGAAACGGGACAGCTGATAGAAAGGCATGAAGTTAGAGGAAGTTCTGTTTAGAGGAACAGCAAGTAGGGCAGTTTGGCGGGAAATACGTTGCATGATGGGGAATAATGTAATAAATCTGAAAAGGAGGGCAGGAGCAAGTTAATGAAGAGTTTTACTGCACATGTCAAACTGAGCTGTTTGCTTCTGATTCTAAATCCCAGGGGAATCTATCCTGGATGAATTAGAGAGGAGAAATTCCTTAGCCAGGAAGACCAACCAGAGGGCTACTGCTCTGTAAGTAAGTTTAGCAAAAACATATTAAGTTCCTAAATTAGCTGGGGATGGGGGTAGAGGGGTGTTCACTGACAAATAACTTTTTGGATACCCTTTATTTTAAAATCAGTCATTTCTAGCCAAAGCACTTCTCACCCACCTCCCAGACAAGCTTTACCTGATAACAAAGTTACAGGCAATTGATCTGGCAACTATATTGGACAACACCCACAACATTCCAAACCCACAGTCCTCCACCTCTACAATGGAAAGAATCTCTTCTCCTGGGCCAATTATAATTGGTCATTATAATTAGGTGTATGAGGTATATCCTACATCCAAATCATCTCTCACAAGACATTTCTCACATAGAATGAGGTTTTTGAGTAAGACTGGAAGGATGGTGGTACCCTTGACATAAATATCAAAGTTAGAAGAAAAGTGGGTATGACAGGATTAAGTCAGTGTTTTGGGAGAGCAATCTATCTGGACTGAAAAAAGGAAAGACATGGTGACATAGGAACATGTGAGTTTCCTGAAGGAAAGGATAGCTATGGAAGCCAATTATTTTAAATGGGTTACAAGTTTTTTCACACCAGCACTTTTTTTAAAAATCAGATAGGTATGCATACTCTTGGAAATTTAAAATAAATATACAGGTAGGTCTGTAATCTCACTTTTATGGAAGACCCAGTGTTTTACAATACTGTTACGCTGCTTAGTTTTATTTTTTAATGACTTCTGCTAAAGGATTTATTTTCTTCATTTCGCAACACGTAAAAAGACAAAAGAAAGTTGGTACTTTTACAAACCAAGTTGTGGTGGCCAAGAAGAATTCAATATGCTTAACTTCCAGCCTCAAGTGTTTTGGGCTGCTTCCAAGAATAATCATCACCTCTAGAGCAGAGACAATGAAAATGATACGGTTCAGAAACTTTTGGAAGACTAAGGAAAAGGCGAGGTAAGAGCCAAAGATCAACGGGTAAGAGATTGTTGTTTGTCCTCCTTTCTCAACGAGGACCATGACATCAGGAAGATGATGCCATGACTTGCAAGTGCCATGAGACAGGGCTGTGCAAAGCCACCTGGATCTAGAGGCAAGATATTCATCAGGATGAGTGGAGACGGCCCCCACGGGGAAGAGGAGGCCGTTTTCCAAAGCAGAAATCTAATACATCAACAGCTCCACACCATCCAAGTAGAGCAACACAAACTGAAGCAACTGAGAGCCCACCTTACACTCTTCCAACTGGCAAAGACATAAAATCCGGATAATGACAAACGCGAGAGGGGCTGCAAGAAAATAGGCAAGCATCTAACACCGGTGGAGCTGCGAACTGACTGAGCTGTTACAGAAAGCAATCTAGAACCATGCCCCCATTTGTGACTCTGACCCAGAGATAACACTCCCAAGGCCGTCCAAAAGAAAAAAAGGATGCGACTCTTTAGAAACTAATCCAAAGTGGCCCGACAAATTATGGTACGTAAACAGCGCGCAGTAAGAAACTGTGGTCGAAATTCTGAGAAACTCGGCAAGATCTGTATGAACGGATGCTGAGAGAAGTGAGAACCAGGTGAATACTGAACACAAAATAGCACCGCAGGGAAAGACGACGCTGACACGCGATGTCAGCGGTGCGGAGGCCAGGGACGAGTCCGCTACGGCCCCTGCGGGCAGAGACGCGGGAGGACGCGCACGTTTTTGGATACGGCCGATGCGGCTCGGCTCTACTTGACGAGGGTATTTTTCTTTCCATTCCGGGGCCTGGGAGGGCGCAGAGAGAAAACGTCAGGGAAACGAGTAACACAACTCCGAGCCCACGGAAGGCGGCGGGGCGCAGGGCCACCGACGTGGCGGGATCGGAGGACACGACGGACCAAACTCGGCCGCCACTGCGCGGCGCCCTCCGCCCCGCGGGCGTCCCCGTCTCTGGGGCCGTTTAACGCCGCTGAGGCTCCGGACGTTCGGGGGCGGCCCGAGCTCCCTCGGCCGGGCCGGGGAGGGGCGGCCCGAGGCGGCCGGAGCCCCAGCGGCCAGCGACGCGGCCCCTACCGGGGGGGGGGTGGGGTGGGCTCTCCGTGCCCACACACAGCGGGCCCTGCCTAGCTGGGGGAGGGGACCCTGGCCGCCCCTCCCCCCGCGCGGCCCTCGCTTCCCGGCCGTGGCCGTGAGCCCTCGCGGCCTCACCGTGTCGGCGTTGGAGTTCAGGTGCTGGAAAGCGAGGGAGCCGAACACAAACCCCGAGATCATCGCCGACGTCCTCTCGCCTTCCATGATGCCGTCCAGTCCCGGCCTCGGACGCGCAGTCGCCTCGCGCGCGCGCTCCTTCCCCTGCCCGCCGCCTCCGTCTCTACCGGGCGCAGGCGCCGTGCGCGGAGCGGCGCGCGGGAGCGCGGAGGCGGAGCGGGGCCTAGAGCGCCCTCTGCCGGCCGAGGCGGCGTCCCGCAGCGGGGGCGGAGCCCCAGGCTAAGCTGCGGGGCGGTCCTGGATGTCCCTCCCAGACCCCCTGGTGGGGTACAGAGAGCTGCTGAGCGTCACCCCTATTCTGCATACGAGGAGAAGGCTCGGAATGGCCTGCAGGCTCAGTACCCGCCTCAGGCAGCGCTACCGAAAGGCCCCTCCGATAACCTCCCTGCCCCCCGCCGGATCGCGCGCGTGGCCCGAGTGGAGCTGAGCAGCGGCGCCTCCCGGAGCCCAGCGCCCGACCGCGTGCCGGGAGCCGCGGCCGACCCGGGGCAGGCAGCAGAAGCCACCTGCGGCCAGGGGCTGGAGCCGCAGCCGGCGGCGAGATATTCCTGACCTTTGCAAACCAGAACCCGGCCAGGGCGCAGTTCAGTCCGCGCCTGCACGCGTATTCCGTGCTTTCAAAGGATTGGTGTCAGCCGCAGCAAAGTGGCTTTAAGAATGAGCGCTTGACTAGCTGTGTGACCATGGGCAACTCACTTAACCCCAATTGCCTAAAAAAAAAAAAAGAATGAACTCTGGAAAGCGAACTTCATTGCGTTTTGTTCTGATGATGCCGATACAATGCTGGAAGAAACTCTGGAGTAGCTATGAAGTTGTTAACATTTTTTCCCTAAAGTCAGCATTTGGTGCTTTAAATCAATTGCAATTGTCCCTTGATAATTCATCTGAAATAAAACAGTAAGATAGGTATTTCTAGATAAAATGTATCCTATTTGTCCCTGATCTAATAAATAAAACCAACTAGAAACTGTAGCTAAAGAACTTAAAAATGAAATTATTAAAGCTGGTCAGTACTAGGTCCAAGATGGAAGCATACAGTTTATCAGCAAGCTTAACCAGCATCATATGTATATTTTTCTTATTCTATAAGTTCTTCTTATTCTGTAAATTATAAGTTCTTATTCCAGTTAGGCAAGGAGGTTAGCTAACTTTAATTTCTAGCAAGACTTTGCTTTCAAGATTGACATTTTTCAAAATTTTTCACTACTTTTGTTGCTAGCATTGTAAGGTAGATAACCCGTATTTGGTATTTAGCTGCTTCTGTAGAGGTGGTGCAATGCTTTAATTTGGAACTTCATAATCACATAGGCAAAATTTGTGGTTCATCCTTCGTTTTTGAAGAGGACAGATGACATCAGGGTGATGTCTTAAGTGAAGCAGAGTAGTACAAAGTCATCAGCCTCACTGTCTTTTCCTGGGTCATGAAAGTCCAGCGGCAGGACAAAGGTCAAGATTGCCGGCGATGACCTTGGCATCTTCAGTGTCTGACCATAGCACCTGCTTCAGCCACCTTCATAGATTGTTCTCATCTGCCCATTCCAGGGGGGTCAGTCTTCATGTGCTTGGGGTAGACATCCCTTAACTCAGGTTTGAGGATGGTTGGTTACTCTCAACCTGGTTTACTGGGATGTGGCTGCTGAGTATAGTACAGGTGGAGCCACAGGTGAGAGTTGCATGAAGGTGGACACCAAAGGTGAATGAGCAGCCCTGAAAAGGGCTTGACAGGCCTTTACATTAGTGCTCCCTGAACACCCTTATAACACCCATATAGGTAAAGTAAACAACAGGATAAGACTCAAAGCAAAATTCTACCCATCTGTTCTAGGTTCAGAGCAGGTAGGTGGTTCAGTGGGTAGACACTGGGCCTGGAGTCAGGAAGACCTGAGTTCAAATCAGGCCTCAGACATTTAATAGCTGTGTGACTTTGGACAAGTCACTTATCTGTCTCAGTTTCCTCATTGATAAAATGAGCTAGAGAAGGAAAGAGCAAACCACTTCAGTATCTTTGCCAAGGAAACCTCAAATGGGGTTATGAAGAGTAAGACATGACTGAAGAAAACTAAACCACAACATTCTAGGTTCATCAGGCTAATTCTAAGGTTTGGCCCTTCATTAACACTTAGTAGTAGCCTTCTCTTTATGAATAGTTATATGTGGAATTTTATCCTAGTAGCACTCTAAGGTGAAAGCAAAACCCAACACACAACTCACACATATTCCATTGAGATTTATTGAAAAATCAGAATTACTACAGAGATAAATTATAGGCATCCGGATGTTGGCCGGGTAGTAAGTGCAGGGAATATGAATGTTTTCCCTAGACTCCTTAAGTACTTCAAGGTGAAGGATGTGTTCCTCCCAGTCTGGACTTTCTTCAGCTTTCTCCATGTTGATACACATGCCAGTCAGTGCCTATGCAAAGGTTTCATCATGTGTCTTTTGAAGCAATGCATTTGAAGCTGCATGGCTTCCATCTGGGATTGAACCTACAGTTTCATTGGTGTAAAGAAATCCCAATAAGAAAACTCTCTCTACCGATGTAGATTAGCATCTTCTCTATTACTTTTATTTTTAAAAAGCAACCTGGGGCACTTAGAGGTTAAATGGCTTGTTCAGGATCACCTAGTCCGTATGTGCCAGACTTGAACAGAGGTCTTCCTGTTGAGGTTCAGAGTTAGAAGAGCTGGTTCAGGTGTGAAAGGATTCACTTAAACCTCTGTAGCCATTGGGAGCTTTATTTCGTCAAAGTTTCACAGGCCTGAGGTTAGCAAGGAGCTAAATAAAGGGTGCTGATATTGGAAAAGACCCAGGCTTATATAGATGGAAAGCTATACAGCCTGTAGGAAGATGATGTATTTTTAGAGTTTCATATGGGAGTTGGAGTTTAGGGACAGGATAAGAACAAACAAGGTGAGGAAGATGGTTGTCAAGATAAGGAGAAATTGTCCTGACACAGGATGAGGAACATAAATGACAGGATGAGGGAAACAAAGGCAATTCTTTTGGTCCAGGATGGGCTCCAGAAGAAGCCTCAAACCCCCTCCGGGACCTGGGAAAGTAACCCTTAATATTATTTTTGATCCTAGGGCACTCTTTGTCCCCACATCATTCCTAACTCAAAGGTGAGCTCTCCAAGGACTATACCTTACTGCCTCTCTTGCTCTTGCTTATATAATGAAAAACTTATGCTTCTGATGGCAGTTCATATCAATGGAGAACCTGATCTTCCACAAATTAAGAGCATTAATTGGCTAGATGGCATGGGCCTGAGCTCACAGTCCTTTCTGACAGTGACTGGGCCAAGGTATATGAGCCTAACTCATGGACAGTTTTCTACCCCATGCTCATAGGTTGTCTTTGACCCTAAGAAAAATGGATACCTTGATTTGCTTGATTCCTGCCCCCCCCCCCCAATTATCCAGGTAACCAGAAGAACTGTATGAGGACTGGCTATGTATTGGCTTGACATGCCAACAACCTTTGTGGTGATCCAGTAAACCTAGTTGGCCTGGGAGAAAATCAGCAAGGCTTTAAAACGGTCAGACTGATTTGTATTTCAAAGGGCCACATATCAGACACCTGAAATTCCTTACTTCCCCTCCTGCATGTCCTCTTCCTTGGGAATGGGGACTGACTCATTCCTGCCTTTTCTCCCCAAATTTCCTGCCTCCCTTTGTTTGAAAAGTATAATTAGCTCTCCTTTTCCAACTGGGCCTTAAGTGGTCAGAACAGAAATGGTGCTCGAGTGCAAGCTTATTGTCAGGTAATAAAGGCATCTGTTTAAACTGTAATCAGACTCTGGTTCACTACAGGTTCCCCTTTTTGGATCTGGGGTTTCTTCCATTTAACGGTTCACAGGGGTTTTTCTTTATCAACCCTTAGTAGTCTCAGATGCATAAACCTGTTGTTTGGGGAAAACCTATGAAGGGCTTATTTCCAGAAGCAATTTATGCACAGTGATACATCAGAAGGAGACGGTTATGTCAGTATACCACTCTGCTCAACTTGGAAATGTGAAAAATGATTTTTCTTAGTAATCATTATCTTGGAAACTCAGAGCTTCCCCATCCCCCTTTTTTCTAAGTTCAGTCCTTCAGAAGGACCTTAAGATGTAATCTAAATGGGTCTATTCCTGCTCTTTCTGTTGCCAAGACAGGTCTGGGAGAATGTTGATTCCTCCCTATGGCCAAGACAAGTGATATAGAAATTGATGTCTCTTTGACCAGGATAGCGTGGGAGTCACATACTGAAAGACCCTCATTTTATATGGGCCACCTCCCAGAGTTGATTGGCACCCTTTGGGAACACCTACTCTTTGAAGGGCATATAAGGCTGTACCATAAAAATCCAATTTGAGCCAGTTCTGAACTGGCCCCATTAGAGGGGCCCAGTTTTGAACTGAACACCCATGCAATGCATGTCAACCCAGCTTGAGAGAAATTACACTGTGAACATATGCACCCCAATTTCGTTTGTCTCTTTCTTGAAGATGACTGTGTTTAAAATTGGGGTTCTTTTTGGGGGGTACTAATAAATATTCTGAAATGACTGAACTAAATGTATGTATGTATGTATGTATGTATGTATGTATGTATGTATGTATGTATATATGTCTTGGATATGAAACTTATCAGGGAACTTTGATGCAAAGTTCCCCCCCCTCCATATTCAACCACTTCTCTTCTTATCCTACATGCATTTATTTTATTTTTGCAGAAAATTTTCAGTTTCATATATTCAAATTTACCAGTTTCATCTTATGTAATTGCCAGTAATTGTAAAACACTTTTTAGTTGAGACTGTATCTCCTATATGTAGCTGTGAAAGATATTCAGTCTACTTCTCTTCTAATGTTTTTATATTATGATATTTAACACGTCCATTTAGATTTTAGAGCATATTGTAAAATATTGTATCTAAGAGTACTTTGTTAGACTGCTTCCCAGTTTTCCAAAGAACTTTTATCAAATGGGGAGTTGTGTCCTAAGTTTATTTTTCCTGATCTGTTGAACACTGGATTATTGAATTCCATAGTTTCTGATCCCCCTTTGTCTAATCTATTCCACTTATCCCTGTTTTCTGAACCACTAATAGAGATGGTTTTGGTGACTGCTGCT